CAAGGCATATCGGCAGTATTTCATATCGGGCAGATTTTTACATTTTAAGCCTTTATCAGCTGATTCTGATAATGTTCAGATAATATTGTGCATCCCTACAGTATATTAAAATCAATTGTGAGTTGAGTCTTTAGAGTGTTTTGAGTTGAAAAATGTTCCAAATCTGTCACTTATGAGGTTCTATTTCAGTTAGTATGCTGCTGTAGAAGTGAGGAAGCTTGCTAGGTTTTAGAACAGAGCTACTGAATTAGTCCAGTCTTGAATGCGCAATTAATAATAGTTTGAAATAATAGGCTAAGGAAAAAATATAATGGCACCTAAGAACTGTCTAACTTGTCAACGCTTTCCCAGGCCAGGAAGAGCCTACGTACTTCAGACCTGTGAACAATACAGACGGTTAAGTAGAGTTTATTTAAGTCAAACACATTTATCCTTTAATTAGATTTAGATAAATAAATTGTGTGTGTGTTTCATCACAATTAGCCTTTGAGCTGGAATCTCTCACTTTGTGCATTCTGCTTCGTGTACGTTCACCGGTTATTATAAATATTTAGCTTTGGCCCTGTTTTGCTCATGTCTTTCAGATTGATGATCATGGGCCAAGGCTAATTACCTGTATGCTGTTACTTTAAGACAGCTTTCATAAATCTTAGTTATTTATAAAGATTGTTAATAATAGGAATGACTGTTGTTCACCTTGATAAATTCATCAAGCTAGTTAATGACTCTGGTTTAAAATGTAAAGAATATGCTTGTTTGTGCATAGTACATCTCACATCGACCAACAATTCTTGGCCATGTTAAATTTTATTTATTTATTACTAAATACAGAGTTCTGGCATGAAACTCTAAATGGTGCGGTCCGATAGGTCTAACTCCATCTGACCTAATGACATCATTATCACATGGCACAGCTGATAGGTACTCTCCTGTATCGGTAGCCAATGAGCTCGCTCCTCAACATTCGAATATATGACTAGTGCTTGCTGTAGCAGTTGCAGCTTGCTTAAGAAACCCTCCACCTTCCCCAGCTCCACCTGTATAGATCTGCTACGAGGTGATTCATGTATACTACATAGGGTTATTTCATGTATGTTATATTTGCAGCAGCAATATTTCTTACATGCTCACAGCAGCATGTTGTGGATGTATTGGCAGTAGCAAGTCTCGGTACTTGCTCTGCCGCAGCAGCAGCAGCGTAGCAGATCTATTCTGCCAAGACCAAATACATTAACATTGTCATGTACATTAGCATGCCAATCCCTCTGAGAGTTGTCATGACTGAAATAAATTTCATATATTTAAAAAAACAAATGTTAGTTAAATGCAAATATAGATATGACAATGTGGGACCAACTGGACATATATTTGATTCGATTTTTATTGTATGTTCGTGTAATGCAGATTTTATTTGTTTTCAGACTTACTTGTTTCTCACTGTCTCAAGACTAACAGTCAACTTCAAACACCAAGACACATGGCTGTGTTGACATGGCTAAATTTCAAACTAGTCTCATATTTACTTTGGAAGGATGAGTTGTCCCAGGGATTACCTGCACGGCTTTGTGGGGTGCACAGAGGATGCTGGGAAAGAATGATGGAACATTTGTGCAAGCCACAGGTATCTTGCTCTATGTTTTGACAGTGAAGAAACTCCAGTCTCACTGTGTGTTCTTGCTGCAGATGCATTAATGTTGACACTCCAAATTGTCCCCAGAGACATTATGATTGACAGTTCATCATGGACCGGTGCCAGCTGTATATAATCCAGCAGATATTGTACTGTGCATCCATAGTGGCAGAGACCCAATTCTCAATTGTGTTTGATAGAATCTAATGGAAGGATGATATCTGAAATGAAATTGAAAAAACTAGTACACTTCCAGTCAGAAATCCTGTATTGATGAGTTTACAGAAGGTTTTGTGCCCTGAAACTCTTCTTTCTTCACATTTTTAACAAATATTTACTATAAAAAAAAAATATCACTGGGTAATTGTCACGTTTGTGTGTTCCTGTTTAGTTCCTGTTTGTCCTTATTTGGTCCTTCCAGTTCCTTTTCCCATTATTAGTAATCACCTGTTCCTTGTTATTAGCTATCCTCATCACCTGTCTGCCCCTCATTATCTGCCCTATTTGAGTTCGAGCCCATTCTGTTCTCCCTCGTCTGGAATTGTTCATGTCAACCTTGCTACGTGTGTTTTTCTGTTTCCTTTTGATTATTAAAATTAGTAAAATTCTCCTACGTCTCCTCGCTCCTTTGCTCCGTGCTCCTACACAGCAGCAGTTCTGTGACAGAATTCCAGACCGACATAAAGTGAGCGGCGCCTTTCCTCCCCGTGTTTCTTTTCCGTTTTTGAAAAGTTTTTTGTTTCTCTGTTTTCCCTGGTGGCAATGGAAACCGCTGGACCTCTCAGACACCACTGGACTAAGCTGGAGGGAAGGGATCCTCCGGTGTCTGGAGAGCGTCCGGCCCCGATCCAGAACCAGCTCTCCGTCAAGCCCGCCGGCCGCCGCTGACTTTGCTCTTCTGGACATGGCGCTGCCTCCGGAGTTCTCGGCTCCTGTCCTCGTCCCGGAATCACCCCCGGAAAGTTCTCCTTCGTCTCCACTGGTCGCGTCCAGCCCTTTTTCGTCTCCTGATTCCCCCGAATTAACCAGCCTTGCACTTCCAGAGCGCCCTCCAGGGTCTGCTCCTAGTAAGCACCCTCCAGAGCCAGCTCCTCGAAAGCGTCCTCCAGAGCGCCCTCCAGTGCCCGCTCCTTGAAAGCGCCCTCCAGAGCCGGCTCCTCGAAAGCACCTTCCAGAGCGCCCCAAAGTGCCCGCTCCTCCAGAGCGCCCCCCAGGATTCCTGGTTTTCCCCAGGAACATTTTTTTTTGGGGGGGCACATACCCGTGGCCGAGCCAGCTAAGGCCACGGAGGATCCGCCATCTGCCTGCTCCGCCATGGCCTCCTGAGCTGCCTGCTCCGCCATGACTTCCCGAACTGTCTGCTCCGCCATGGCCCCCTGAACTCCCAGATCCGCGCTGGAGGCTCTCCTGGTCTCCGCCCTATTCCTGCCCTGCACCAGCCTCCAGGGTGCCCGCCCAGAGATATCTGTCACGTGTGTGTGTGTGTGTGTGTGTGTGTGTCTGTTCCTGTTTATCCTTATTTGGTCTTTCCAGTTCCTTTTCCCATTATTGGTAATCACCTGTTCTTTGTTAATAGTTATCCTCATCACCTGTCTGCCCCTCGTTATCTGACCTATTTGCGTTCAAGCCCGTTCTGTTCTCCCTCGTCTGGAATTTTTCATGTCAACCTTGCTACGTGTGTTAATTTGTTTCCTTTTGATTATTAAAATTCTCCTACGTCTCTTTGCTCCGTGCTCCTACACAGCAGCAGTTGCGTCACAGTAATGATAATCTGACCTTAACAAATTCTTCTCTAGACGCTTTAACACTTTAGGCAATAATTCATGGCATGCATATATAGCATATACTCATTTGGCTTTCTATTGTTGCTGTGAGTCATCTCTAATGTGTGAAAGCAGTCTGTGCTTTGAAATGCTTCGGAGAAGATAAGGTACAGTAGATGTTCTGCTGCATGTGTTAGAATATAAAGTGTGCTTACTGTAAATATATTCAGTGGTGGCTCAGAATGAAATCAAGTTTATTACGTTTCTAAAGACATGAGCAATGCTAGAAGTTTCATTTTTGTCTTTCCACTGTTGTGCAACATCTGCTCTCAACACTAAACCAATTAGACAATAAGCTCACAAGAATGCTGAAAGGTCTGTGAAAGATGAAATTAAATGCAGTAATTATATATGCATAAAAAATATTTTTAAAAGAGTAATTTTATCATAAGTTTAAAGAAGAATTTGCAACTCGCTCAGTATAGTAATTAAATTTAAATCCAAGTGAAATAGAAAATTTTGCATGAAAAAAAAATCCTGTGCCAGAATTACCAAAACAATAGCGATAGTATTTTATTATATATAATGTGTGTGTGTTAAAAGTTTAAAAGTTAGTAGATTTTTTACAAGAAATTAATAGTTTTATTTAGAAAAGATACTTTAAACTGATCAAAAGTGACAGTAAAGACGTTTATAATGTTGCAAGATTTCTATTTCAAATAAATTGTTCTTTTGAATTTTCTATTCTATTCTAGTAAAATAATCCTGGAAAAAAAATTTATTGCACATTCCATGAAAATATTAAGCAGCTCAACTGTTTTCAAAATTGATAATAAGAAATGCTTCTTGAGCTCCAAATCACCATATTAAAATGATTTCTAAAGGATTGCTTTAATCTTAATCTTTTAATAGAAAACAGTTATTTAAAATAAATAAATATTTCTGACCCCAACCTTATGAAAGTTACATCATTCAATAGCCTGTGTGGTCTACTGTAAGTGACATAACCTGAAAAGGAAAGTTGTATCAGAGGAAGAAACAAGTTATAAAATGTAAATTTAAGGTTACAGTACAAATACTTTTTTTCATTCACAATAGGAGCGAATATTAAAGTAAAAAGGTACGTTTTGATTTTATGTTGACTCTGAAGCATTTTTTCAGGGACAAAGCGTCTTGCTGAGCAGAGGATGAGCTTACTGCGGCAGCGCTCCTACAAAAAGCTGAATATTCACGTCTCCCAGGACCTTTTCCCCTACAAGAGCCCTGAGCTGATTACACCCCCTCCTCCCCTTCATCCTCGTAATGAACACGAGCAAAGAGTCCCCTGAACTTCACCTCCTCCGTCTCCCCCATCCTAACGAGATCCTCTCCACGCTTCCACCATGAGCCCTCAGCCTAATCTGTGGAGGCACTGAGGTATTATTAGAGCCGCTATAGTCCTCGGAGGAGACGCTAGGAGCGCGAGGTCTGGCAGATGAGATGAACTATAGGGAGGTGCACAGTTCCATTAAGATGGCATTCACCAAGGGCCTTTGTTATCATTGATCCTAAAGCTTTCAGGGAGCAGTGAGACTTACTGATCCATGACCGTCTCATCTGTCTTGCAGGGTTTGAGGGAACTCGCTGTGAAATTGATAGTGATGACTGTGTCTCAAGACCTTGTCAGAACCAAGGCCATTGTGCGGATGGGGTCAACAGTTACAGGTCTTCTTGCCTTTTATTTCTAATTTTAGTTCTCTGTTATGTTTGTTTGTCTTTCAGCAGATATATAGCCCTCTGGCACTGTTTTGTGTTAAAGGGACAGTTCACCCAAAAATGAAAATCCTGTCATTAATTAGTCACCTCCAATGTAGTTTTAAACCTGTATGGAGTTATTTATTGCTTGGAACACAAACGAAGCCCTTATGTAGCTTTTTTTCCTCCATTAAATGATAGTTCACAATGATCACATCTGTCTAGTTCTAAAAAGAACAAACAACACCATAAAAATCCAACAGAATGTGTAAACAGTCTAAACAGCATAGTGACAGAATGGTGATTGTTGGGTGAACTATCCTTTTAAGACCTCACAAGACAATATCAACATACAGTGAGTAACAATTGTTGAAATATTTGTCCTGAAATATATCTCTGCAAGAATTGCTCATAAAATATGATCTTGCTAATAAATAAATATTTTATCATTTTAATTATTATCATAATTCATTATTATTGTCAATAATAATGTTATTATTTTTTACAAAATATGTATCAATATTTGTTAATTTATTCATAAACATACATACAGTAATACCAAATAAAACCAGGTTATTTAAATTTAAATTCTTTAAAAAATATGTAAGGAATAACAATTTCCCATTTCAGGTCCTGGCTCCACGTTTATTTGGATTGAGGTCAAATTCTGACTTGATTGTTTTTTTCAGCTCAGTTGTTGTTTTACCTAGAGCAGCCCATTTACTTCACCACAGTTGAGGTTTGCTATTTTCCAGATATAATACTGTGTATATTTATCAGAAAGGTCCATTTTTGGCTTGTATGCCACATGTCTATTTTTTCCTCTTGTAGTTCTTTGGAAACTCAGGTGTTGTAACACAATAGAGATGACAGCCATTTATTTATTTGTTTATGTTTTTTATATGTATTCATTTATTTATGGAAGAACAGTCAGTAGTTTCCTCTGTGATATCTTCACATTTTGTTGGGTCAGTCTTACTATGCAGTACATTCTTATGCACCTGTCATATACACTTCTGATCAAAGGTTTGGGGTCATGGATTAATAATAAGAAATTACTATTTTTATTCAGCAAGCGTGCCTTATATTGATCAAATGTGACAGTAAAAACATTTATAATGTTACAGAAGATTTCCATTTCAAATAAATGCTGTTCATTTTAACTTTCTATTCATCAAAGAATCCTGAAAAGAATGATCAGTTTCCACAAAAATATTAACTGTTTTAACTGTATTTAGTGCTAATGATAATAACAAATGTGTCTTGAGCACCAAATAATATAATGATTTCAGAATGGTCATATGACACTTAAGACTGGAGTAATGGCTTCTTAAAATTCAGCTTTACCATCACAAGAAAAAATTACATTTTGAAATTATATTAAAATAGAAAACTGTTATTTTAATATTTTAATAAAAAATTGCAATCATTTTTCACAATATTGCCATTTTTACTCTAGAATGGTAAGTTCAGCCTTGATAAGCATAAACACTTCTTTCAAAAATATTTAAATTACAGACCCCAAACTTACCCTTATTTACCCTAAACAGTAATCTATGTCTTAATATATTGGCTAAAATAACAGACTTTTCAAAACTGGAAATAATAAAAGGTTTCCTTTATTGAACTAAACTGAATATTAGTGTTGCTTTCGTCAACGAAAATTATGACTAAATATCGTCGTCAACGAACCTTTATCACGTGACGAAAACGAGACGAGACACAACGTAAATGCTGGTCATGTGACGATGACTATAATTAAATGTATAATGCAATATTGTTGACGAATAAAAACGAGACTAAATGTGGTTTACAAAATAAAAACTATGCTAAAATGTCTCTTAATTTTCGTTGACCAAAACGAGACGAAACGAAATGTTATAACGTTATTTCGTCTCGTTTAGTCGCGTTATTATTATTATTATTTTGCAGTATTTCTGTTTCCTGTGTCTCCATCAGGTCACACTGCGCAGACGCAGGCGACGTCACATCCTCAAGCCCCACTCGCGGCATTATTTAAAACAGTGTTTCCCAACCGGGGTGCCGCGCCTGTCGAGAGCAGCTATTATATAATATCCATTTCTAATGTCACCAATAATTAGAGATGCACCGAAATTCCGGCTGCCGAAAACGAGTTCACCGCTCAGGATTCACTTTCACGTGGTGTGACACTCTGCGTGTTATCCCGCTCTATGCGTGTGCGCTCCGCTCAGTCGCTCCACTCGTATA